AACAATAGCGCAACGAATAATTTGTCTAACTTTTTTCTCTCTAATTCCTTCTCTAAACTGGATCTGAAATTGTCGCCGATTGCCTAACCGGTAACCATTCTATCGACCATATACGGAGGTGACGACGCACGTGCTAAGGCGATAGTCCCGCAGCCGCAGGGAGCACTGTTCCAATGCATGTAGGCGTCACTTTATACGTATGTACGCTCATTCATCCACGCGTGTGGCCGAAACTTTTTAAAGTCAATGACGCAGCTGTTGCAATGCTGCATCTGCTCTACATCTACATCTACTTTCACTAAACAACAGGATTTTCACGAGCGAAGGGTATATATGAGGTAGAGCTACTCTGAATCAAACATCTTTTCTGTAATCAATTGTAGTAGGTAATACCAGGAAACCACATTTACGAATTTGGATGCTGAACTTAACTTTGTATGTACACTATCCTAAGGAGGATAACAAATATACGTCAATTTTTGCGAGTGCGCATGACTCCGAATACACTTGTGCAGGTACATACCACAGAACAGACAATCACAGATATATAGAGCGCACAATTATCTCTCAATGACAACTTTAATAATTATATATATACGCTTCAACATACGGATGATTGACATCTTATCTCATGTGATAACGGAAATATTGCGGCGTATTCTTAAAACCTCTCGTGGCATCTGTGTTCGAACTGTTGCTGATCATGAATTTAATATTAGCCAAAGTGGCGCTCGCTATGGCGCACTACGTGCACGCACGCAGGTATGCACGTAAACAGGTATAATTCGAGGCACCGTTGTTAGAAAACAAAAATTCGTCTTAACATTAGTCTTAACGATAACTTTTTCTCGCTGACGCGTACTCTCTCTAATAGATGAGATAAATGTTTCTCATACAGAAGTGGACTCTGTATGAGAAACATTTATCTCATCTATCTCATCATAAACATCTGTATGCAAATTTACCATGTTTCTGTCATACGGTTCTAATGAAAAAAGGTAACATTATTACTAATGTTAAGACTAGTTTTGCTTTGACGACGGTCCAAATGATTTACTTCAGATAACATAAAATGTTTGAATGCGATCACAACAGTGCGATTGCATGGAGTCATTGACGACACGAAGACAACAGTCGTGGGTAATTAGTAGGTCTCAGGGGAGAGATAGTGAATATAGAAAATAAGTTGTGGATATAGAATCAGTTACCCTAACCCTAACCCTAACCCTAATCCTAACCGCTAATATCCCTAATTCTAAAATAAAACAAAATTAGCCAAAAATAATAAAAAATAAAATAAATAAGAGACAAAATTAGCCAATCAGAGCCGTCCCCTAGCGGATCACTATCTCTCCCCTGTGCAAAATTTGTGGGTAACAGAGCGTGGCGCCACCGCGGGAGTAACGACAGCACCTAGTTTCTTCAGGTTTATTCACTCCAAAGAATCGCGACCCGTTATCTTAGGAGGCATGGTGATTACCAACCACGACCATTACTCATGTATTGCGGGCCAAATGATATGATGTCATTACTATGACACTTTTATGTCATTATTTACAAAAGGACAACTATGAGAAGGCAAAACACAGGGTTACCCCATGCAACCCCCTGCACTACTGCCTGAAGCGCAGTGTTATTGCATACAATGGTAACAAAAGATAACACAATAGGTCTATGGCTCCAGGTTAGGTCTCTACCTACAGAGAGACAGTAACACACTTAGTTGTGATTGCCACGACGCCTTTTAATATGGAAAATATTACCGATCGTTATCAACATCGAACTATGGCCTGAATCGCTATAACAACGCTGTCTCAAATGATACCTTCATATCTAAATAATTATTATATTTTGCTTACGAGAAAGTCGGGTATTAGAATTTAGGCAACATTTATTTACATCAGCCATGATCGAGTGATTATAAATAGACAACCATCATCTCAGGGGTTTTATTAATTACCAGTAATGATGACAATAGATGAAGTGGCTTGCTTGCTACAACTCGCTCGAACACACGCACGTAACCATCGTATCGTGTGATCTTGAATCATTACATAGAGAACCTGCCTAACGGAAAATAATACCGCCACTCCGGTTACCTATAGTAGACATTCGGTTTGTCCACGTTATTATTTTATATTATTATTTCCATATTACTACGTGAAATTGTATGTAACTTGTGTCGCTTGAATTCATTCCTGGTCGATCAGCTCTATCGACACCCATGTAACCCTATGTTTGCACTTCCCACCGAGATTACTTCTATCAACGCCTCATACCGAATCCGTAGTTGTACATTGTTCTGCCTGTTAACCCTAACACCAATCTCTACCTCTCTTCGCCTCTCGTACGTCAGCCAGTGCTTACAGCGCACACACCCCTCACACCGAGATACCCTTGCATTTCTACGTTATTCGCTCATTACAAAATACCTTCCCGAACTCCTGTTCCCACATCTAATTTCAAATGACACTTACGATACACCTTCCTCCTACAACAATAGTTCTTGTCTGTGTGAAGCTTACCCGCTTGAGAGAGTAGAGCAGTAGACGTTGATTTCCCAGTCGGCAGCCATATCCCAGCATCCACGCTATCCCCATCGTCATCGTCGTCGTCGTTGTCGCTGTCGGCGACAGTGTCAATGGGATTCGCCGCAAATATGGCGTCGATGAAAGCTTCCGCCGTGGCCCACAATGCCTCTCGCTCGATAGCGTCCTCACAGTTCATACTACACACGCGATCTCTCGCAGCAACACCAAGCAGTTGGGGGGAGTCACTTCACGAACATACGGGCGCGTCGGCTGAATGTTTTACCCCGCGTTCATCCGACCACTTCAGCGCCTCGGTGTGTTTGAACTTCACAAACACACACATGCGCATCCGTCGTGGTATCCATCATGCACCTGGGCCAGACAACGGTGGTCATTCTCACAATGTGGATCACGGTGCGCGCGCGCGTGTGTGTGCGCGCGTGCGTGCGTGCGTGCGCGTATGACACCACTCTATACTAACGACGAGATGTGCGAAATCATGTCACGAGCCGTCGACCCCGAGCCACCGATATCTACTGACTCAAACAAATCTTCTGCAACAATGACTATAGCGCGAAGCCCAGGGGCAATATTACGGTTATATTAGCAGATGTGCTTAAGCTCGTCTGCACTAATTGGCAGCGGCACAGTTAACTACGTCCGTGTTAAATTACAATTTCTTAGCGTTAATCGAAAACACGCGAGAATGATGGTTCATCTCACACAGCGACGGAATATCTATCAAACACGGTGGCGGTGTATTGTAGAAGGGGAGACTGCTTAATATGGCCTGATGTTATTGGCAATCGCAAAAAGGATTGTGCAGGCTGCTAAGGGCTAAACTAAAGTTCTAGATAGAAAAACTAGATCTTGGAATTAAGCTCTCTTG